TCTAACGCTCCTGCTCCTTACCTTAAAACTAGACTCCCGGTTAGTGAGTCCTTCTCTAAGAGGAAAGTTTCTCCCGACCTACACTTCCTGTGCCCCTCAGAACTTTGCATAGCTTAACCAGGTCCCTCCTCAGCCTTTTCTGCTCTGTGGAAAACAACCCTATCCGATCTAAGAGATAGTAAAAACTGCCGATGCTGCAGTCTGAGATAACACAGTGTGGAGCTGGAGGAGCACAACAGGCCAGGGAGCATCAGAGGAGCAGGAAAGCTGATGTTTCGGGTCGGGACCCATTTCTCTTAAGAAAAGATCCCTATCCGATCTAATCTCCCTTCACAGCTATATCACTCCTGTCCAGTAGTCAATCTGGTGAGTCTCTTCTGCACCCGCTCTAATGCAAGTGCATCCTTGTTATATTATGGTGAGCAAAACTATTTACAATACTTCTGCTGTGGTGTATCATTATGTACAGCTCTATCATAACTTCCCTTTTTTTTTGTTTTCTATTCCTTGACTAAAAAACTGTAATGAGGTTGACTACACTGATGTAACTTTCATCTCATTTGAGATTCACAGTAAAATCACCTCAGATAAACAGTGAAAATGAGAAATGAAAGGTGACTAGATCACTGCAAAGAATGGGAGTTTCACATTACGATTTCATTCATTCACTTGCCATTGTTATGGTATATAAAATCAAATGAAAACTTATGTCAATTACTATTCGTTAACGTTAACCATTGGCAGTCGACCTGGTATTTGAAATTGAAGTGTTTTTGAATAAACAAGGCAGATATGTTTTTTTCTGATCGAGAAATACTTTATTGATCACATGTCTCATTAATATTGTATAAAGAATTTTTGAGACAACTTTCGGCTGCAGCTATGAAATATTCACAACAATTGCTTCCAAATTTTGTTTGTACTATTTTCTTCTAGTGTCCATTTGATATTCAGAATCATCTTAGTATATATTTGCAGTTTATTATTAATTGTTAATGGTTTGGTTACCTTTAATCTTTTTCATAAATCAACGAATTTTGTCCGAGATGCTAAAGGTGCTTTGATGCCTTTGTTGCTAAAGGTGATATGGAAATTTTGCTAAAGGAGATTGCAAGACAAAACATCAAAGGCATCTAATGGATAGGAAGCGAAGCTTGGAGTTCCACACCAATCCTTTCTTCGGAAGAAAGCCGAAGATTTATTTTTGGAGCGTTAGGAATCTCAATTCTACACGCAAATATCCCCGGTTTTGAGGCATTTCTGTATCGAACGCACTCATCTGCAGACCCAGGAAATAGTTTACTGAAATAATTTTGGGAAACAACTTTCAATTGTCGTCTGAGCTCGGCAGAGAATCGAGCAAATGGAACAGAACAAACGTCCAAATGTACAGGCCGAGAGAATTTGAAAACCATTAAAAATACCTATACTGACGCATCTCAGTTGAGAGTCACATAATGTGTTTAAGGCAACTTATGCTGCAGCGCATGCTCTGCGCAACATGGTCGGATGTGACACTGTGAAAAAGGCGTCCCAGAATAACACGTGACAATCCGTCCGATTTTCATTCACACCAGGTATTGAAACTACATTACAGGTGAAAAAGAATCTGACAGTGCTCCAAATATATTCGAGGTAGCACAGAAAATAAACGCCTTCAAAAAAGTTGTTTCTCTTTTGTAGTTCATGCTATTTCATTTGTTTTGTCTTAAAGCTTTTGCAGTATTTGAAATGGTCAATTTCACCGCTAAGATTGCAGAAACTGTGCACTTCAACGAAATTGGGGATCCTGTGGCAAGGTACGACATTGTAAACTGGCAAAGTGCTGGGGTTGCGGCTGATATAGTTACGGTCGGATATTATGATGGATCTGCGCCTCCAGGCGAAGAATTCTCCGTTGTCGAAGAAGCAGTTGTTTGGAGTGAGGGGCGAAGGAAGGTAGTCTAAAATTTATTGTCTTGATATCTTTCTTTTTGTTCTTTCAAATCAATAAATTACTATTGATGAGGCAGGGAAGTCTATGCAAATACAGCTCCTTGTCCAATTCATCCTCACGGATGCCCTGTTACAATGGCTATCCTGCGAGGAAAGGCCAGAATGGAATAAGACAACAACAATAACTATGAGGGACCGGATTAAAATGCTTCTGCTAGTAATGTAGAACCCTGAACTACTCATCTTGTGATCTGTCTAAATAGCACTATGGCTGTTGGCAAACTTAAATTGAGTTAACCAGAAACAAATCTAGAATGAAATTTCCACAAATTCTTGTTAAAATGTCAAACTGATGTCCTCCTGCTCTCCAGGGGGAAACGATGCTGCCTGGCGTGACTCCAGATTGACAGCAATGTGTTTGAGTCATAACTACTCGGTGAAATGGCCTAGATCGCCAATCAGTTGCCACCACTAACTTCACAAAGATAAATACTGTCATTGCCAGCAATGCCTACAAGTTGTGAATGAATAAAGACCAATGAATTGTTTAAGTTCCCACAAGAATCTTCCAAATATAGGTCAGACAAATGCAAAATATTGTGGATGTTGGAATTCTAAAATAAACCCATGAAATGCTGGAGACGTTCAACAGACCTGGTAGCATCTCTGGAGAGAGAAATTCAGTTGATATGATTTTATTTTCAGAAGAAACGTTAGTTCTTGTTTCTGTTTCCACAGAATCTGCCAGGCCTGCTGGGTTTTTCCAATATTTTCTATGTTTGTTTACAATCGAGGTCAACTGGTAGTTCCTTACATGGTCCATTGGGATATCATTAAACCACCTTTTCCACGTTTTCGCCTTTCCCAGCCACCTTTTATGGTTAGTACAGCACAAATCCAAATCAAACTTCGATCCCACATACAATTGCGACTTTTCTGACATTAGTCTGTGTTTCTCATCTCGAGACCCAGTGTTGGATCTTGCAAGGCTCTAGACATTTATTCATCTCATTTACATAAGGCAATTTGCTATGAAAGTTGTACTGCTGGAACAAGGAAAGCTGCCAGAAAAGGGCAACCTAATTGCTGCTTTGATTGTGTGGAGTGTGCTGAAGGTGAGATCAGTAATATTACAGGTACGTATGCATGTAAACACACGTATATACTTAACTATTCATTCATTTTTTTGACCTATTTATATCATTTTAATTTCTAGAAGAACCATTATTTCATGTACTCTTACTTTTTTAAAAATAGATTCCTCCACATGCGTAAAATGTCCTTGGGATTATTGGCCAAATGAACAGCAAAACCAATGCATACTGAAGATAACAAAATTTCTCTCCTTTGAGGAGATCATGGGAATTGTTTTGCTGAAACTGGCATTAACTGGAACCAGCTTCACAGTATCTGTAATCATAATTTTCTGCATTCACATCAACACTCCCTTTGTTAAAGTCAACAATGCAGAATTAAGCTTTCTGTTTCTTTTTGCTTTAGTGCTGTGCCTTCTCCACTCAATAATGTTCATTGGAAAACCTTCAGACTGGTTTTGCATGCTATGCCACATAGTATTTGGGATTACTTTTGTTCTCTGTGTTTCTTGTGTTTTGAGCAAAACCGTTGTTGTAATGATGGCCTTTAATGCAACTCTTCCTAATAGTAACATGATGAAGTGGTTTGGGCCAGTACAACAACGCCTGGCCATTTTCACCCTTACATTTGTACAATGTCTAATATGCACGGCCTGGCTAATTGCATCACCACCCTATTCATTGAAAAATGCTAATTATTTTAAAGATATTATTATCTTAGAATGTGATGTTGGGTCTGTGAAAGCCTTTTCCTTGGTTCTTGGTCATATTGGATTTTTGTCCTGTGTTTGCTTTGTGGTTGCTTTTTTAACTCGCAGATTGCCAAACAATTTCAACGAGGCCAAATGTATTACTTTTAGCATGTTTACATTCTGTGCAGTTTGGATAACATTCATTCCTTCTGATGTGAGTTCTCCTGGCAAACACATGGTGGCTGGAGAAGCGTTTGCCATTCTGGTATCCAGCTTTGGCCTACTTGTCTGCATTTTTGTTCCTAAATGTTACATTATCCTGTTAAAACTGGAAAAGAATACAAAGAAATATTTGATGCAAAAAGTCACTTGAAATAAAAGATACTCCTCATTTTCCCTTGATTTAACACCTTTGTAGCACTATATTAGCTCAACGAAGGATCTTAAATTGATCCAGATTGTTCAGCAATTGCTGCCTAATAATCAAATCACAGCTTACGGTCATCATTGGAAACTGGCAATCAAAGATGATTTTTTTTGTTGCATCTAGGAGGCAAGTCAGGCCTGAGTTGATTCCTGTCAGTGACATATTATTCACAAAGCCATTGCATAACAGTAACATTAAACAGCTTGCTTAACCTGTGTGCAGATGTTTGAAACCTTTTGCCCTTCTAAGTAATTTGAAATAATGCCGGCAGTTTTCAAACCCAGAAGTGGTGACCTTTGGCACATTTGCAATATGAACAACGATTTGAAACAAATTAACATTGACCCATATGAGGTCAGCGGAAAGGAGATGACGACACTATTCTCATCGCTAGCAAATGTCGGTTCTGAATCCCACAGGGGAAAAAATCTAGTTCCAATTGTTCTGCTGGAAGACCACTTCAAAGGATCCATAGACCTGCACATTTCGGGATTGTGGGAGGGATTCCATGCAGTCTTGGGCAAATGTACAAACTCCGCGCAAATAGTGGCCCGAAGCTGAAATCGAACCCGAGTACCTTGGCGCTGTGAAGTAGCAGCGCTAAACATTGTGCCGCCTCAACGGGATTGAGGGTACACAGGTGATTACGTTTGCAATTATTTCCTTCATGATTCTCATGTTGCCAAAAGTGATGATGTGTTTTCTTAAGGGACTCGCCTAGTAATTTGTTGATGTTCAGCAGAGATTGAAATCGATTTAGCAACATAAAGGCGATTTTAAAGGAAACAGCTGGAGCTTATATAAAAAATTCATCCGACTGTAGTTCAAAGACAATTCCTTACCCAGTCAAAGATGCATTATTGGTTCCTTTTCGTGGTGAATTCTGCTGTTGCCCAGGCATGGTCCAGTAATGAGCAGGCTTGCAAACTTTGGGGTAGGTTTGATTTACTGGGCCTGTCGAAGAATGGAAATATTATGTTGGGTGGAATTTTTGACGTGCATACTTACCAAGTTGAGCATCGCCAACTCTCGTTCAGCAGTCACCCGGAGGCGGCAAAATGCGTCAGGTTAGTGGGTGCCATTAGACACTCCATTTCGTTTAGTAGTCATCTGCCTTCATGCTGCTTCACATTTTGAATTAATTTGAGAATTTAAGATTGTTTTTTTTTTAAATTGTTAACCTTATTTTTGTGGTCCGTTCCAAAGTGCTTTATAATCAATCATGTACTTTTGCAATTTAGTCAATGTTTTAAGATTCTTAATACGGCAAAGCATGCAGCCCCAGCTCCCACAATCAGTCTTGTAATCAAAACTCAGAAACCTCTTTTAGCATGAGTGATAATTATCGGTGAAGGCATTGTGAAAGTTCTCCTGCTCTTCTTCGAAATACTTCTGTTGGATCGAGGAAGGAAGGTCGGGAATCCCCTTCACGTCGTATTTGAAATTGAGCACATTGTCAGATCTTTGTTTAATGTCAGTTAAGATTTTGCACTCAGCGTCTGAGTTGGAACATATATCCACCAACACCCCGTTACCACTGAATTATAGCTAATAATATGGGTCCTCTTGGATATAACTGTCATCGCTGTTTCCTATGTTTTTTTTTAAATCTTGTCTCTTTACCTTCTCTGCAGCTTTCAGTTCCGTCCTTTCCGTTGGGCACTGGCGATGGTTTTTGCAATCGAGGAAATAAATAACGATACAGCTCTGCTACCCGGTGTCACACTGGGATACCGCATATACGATTCTTGTAAGTTGACCCAGTTATCGCTAAAAGCAGCAATGGCGTTTCTGAACAAACCGGAGGCAAACGCGTCCTCTGATAACTGCAAAAGCTCCTCCATTGTTTCTGCGATTGTTGCTGATTCTGGATCCACGAGGTCTTTAGCAATAGCACCTCCTATGGGTACCTTCAGGATCCCAATGGTAAGATAGGCGTTTAATAACTCGGTTAGACAATATGAATAAATTTGGATCAATAGTATATGATATGGTGTCATATGCGTCAGTTAAACCATCATCTACGTAAATTTTTGTAATGTCTGTTGTTGAACTAGAGAGAGATGAAACTCCCCTTCAGAATGTTCACTCAGGATGGTGAGACGGTCCAGGACAATTACTGCTGATTACTCCTTGGTTCTGTTTAGTTATAGCTTTATAACGAGGTTTTTATCCCTCTTCCTCTAAGGTACTGCTTCGAAAGTCTCATTTCAGAAATCTGATGATAAACAGAAGTAAAGTATGGGAACGAAAACGTTCAAAAATAGTTGCAAAATTTGGCAATTTAAGTTCATTTTTTATTGTTTTCTGAGATCCAATCTGTGCTGGCAAAACATATTCGTTTCCAGTCATCAGTTACCCTTGAGTGAATGCTTCCTAGATCATCTGCGAACCAGGTTTAGAGTGAATCACTCAGATTCTGATTTACAGCATCCACAGATCTTTCCGTTTTTGTTAGAGTGAATCACATTACGTGGAACAAAGGCAGAAACTGCCGGAAAGTCTCAGCAGGTATGGTGGCATCTGTGGACAGAAAACAGAGTTAACGTTTTGGGTCCAGTGACCTTTCTTCAGAACATTACGTGGAATCACATGCCGGACAGATATCCGAGAACAAGATGGGAACTTTTGTTTTAGAACGATCATAGCTTGATGGTCACCGTTGTTGGGGCTTTCTTTGTATTCCGAAAGTATTCCTTGAATTTAATCGCCACTGGTTGCCATGGTGACAGGCAGATGGCACATGTACACTGCACCTTCACCCTTTGTTCGTACGAAGAGATCCGAAATAATTAAACTAATTACTTTATCAGAGTTTTACGCAATTTTTAATCAACCTGTCTATTGATGCTATCACACCCTATGGGCAAGATGAAATGGCATCTGGTCCACAGGTCAGGATGCTACCACTGCACCACAAGAGCTCTGAGTTCTGAGGAAGGGTCACCGGACCCGAAACGTTAAGTCTGAATTTTTTTTTTTAATTCACAGATACTGCCAGACCTGCTGAGCTTTACCAGCAACTTCTATTTTTGTTCGAGAGCTCTGCAACATTTTCCTTTTGTGCACTTGTTTGTCAAATTTTTGATGTATTCTTATCATGAACCATGTTAACTAATTTACGAGTGATGAATCCAGCCATGACGGACCTTACTTAAGTGTCATATCGCTCGCTTTTCAAAATTTTGTCTGTTACGTCATGTGTCTGTCTCATGTTTAAACTGAGGCCTTAACCCATTTATTGGAAACAGCTCATTGCCGAAATGAACCCAGTGGTCAGGGATTTTTTATTTAATCACGTGCTGTCGATTTTGAGGCGCAATTTAAAACAAAAACAGATAACGGTCAAAATACTGGAGACGTCAAGCACATCTGTGAAGACAGAAGCTGTAGCTTCAAAAATGAGCGAATGTCATGCTCGACGACACAAGACAACTTTTCGTCCAGTAAGGCAGGAAAAAACATTCTACAAGAGGCAAAGCTGAGAACAAATAACTTACATATTGTTAAATACTCTTGTGTTATCAACTCTGCTACAAAGGTCAAGGGGTAAAGTGATAACCCAGACCACTGTTTCTTGAAATTTTGAAATTAAGGATTTGTAAAATTTGAAACGGAAGCAACTTAGCATATAAATGTAATGTCTACAAAACCTACCCAGCAGCAAACCTAACGATAAACGGAATGCTAAACTACACAACGCAAACATTACTTTAGAAGTTGAAATAATTTAAAAGTAAGCTAAATGTTTCGGTATCGGCTTACTGGGACATGTGTAATTCATGCCTGACAGACAGTGAGCTTAATTTTCCTGCGAGAGGCTGGATGAAATTCTTCAAGGTTCTACCTCGCAACCTTGAATTAAAAAACAGATACTATTGAAAATTTAGCGAAAGGTATAAGGGGTTGGTTGAAGAGTAATTTTAAATATCGGCAATGGTGTACAACAGGTCATGTAGAATTAGGCACATATCCTACGCATTGCTTCTCTTGTGCCTCCATTGACCTCAATGTGAAGGCACAAAAGATGAGATCAACAGTAGATCCTCTATACATTATTACACACAGTTAGAATTCTCCCCAGGTAACTCGCCAGGGAGAGGGAGTAAGAGAATGTTCGTAGAAGTCCTTCATGTTAAATTGTGAAGATTGCACAGTGTGCGTGCTTGCAGCGAAGTCAATGCGGATCAAGAAAGGGCAATGCTTGGGATGAAATGCTGGGAGTAAATATTTGAATGGGACGTTTAGAATTTATTCATTTAGCAGTATATTCTCCGTTTAAGAAGGGCCACTTCTTTAAGCACGACACGACCTGGAATCTTTGCACTTCTCCACGAATAGTTTTGACTTGATATCATGAACAACCACAGATCATAATCGAAACACAAATGTTTTTGTTCTTTTTGTGACAGGTTAGTTACTTTGCAACCTGTGCGTGCCTCAGCAATAGGAAGGAATATCCGTCATTTTTTCGAACAATACCGAGTGATTACTATCAGGCTAAAGCATTAGCCCAGTTAGTGAAACATTTCGGATGGACTTGGATTGGGACAGTTAAGAGTGACGATGACTATGGGAACTTTGGAATGCAAGCATTTGAAGAGGCAGTCCAACAATTAGGCGTTTGTATAGCCTTTTCCGAATCATTTCATATAACACACGCTCGAGAGAAGTTGTTGAAAACCATTGACACCATAAAAACCTCTTCTACAAAAGTTGTCGTTGCCTTTGTGGGAGAATCAAACATGCGTACTCTACTAAAAGAAATGTTTAGACAAAATGTCAGCGGCATACAATGGATTGGAACCGAATCATGGGTTTCCACATTGCTTCTTCCTCCGGAGGAAAGTAAAAAGATTGCTTCTGGTGCACTTGGGGTTGCAATTCCCAAAGTCGGTATACCAGGGTTGAGGGAGTTCCTCAGGAACGTTCATCCATCCTTGTATCCCGGAAACCTCTTGGTGAAAATGTTTTGGGAAAGTTGTTTCCGCTGCACTCTAAGTGGTAGAAACAAAACAGACCCTCGACAAACTGATTCAGATGTTAAAGAATGCACAGGAAGAGAAAATTTACAGAATGTCCAAAATGAATTTACGGATGTGTTCCAATACAGAGTCACTTACAACGTGTACAAAGCAACTTATGCTATAGCTCATGCACTTCACAATATGGCGTCATGTAAAATTGGGGAAGGCCCTTTCACCAATGGGAGTTGTGCAAATGTTTCAAATTTTCAACCGTGGCAGGTGAGGAACATTTAACATAGTTTGATAACTGTATTTACATATATATCCAAAGTTGTCGAAGTCACGGTTGAATATTTGCAATTAATGTAAACGTGTTATGACTTTGTTTTTTTTTAAGTTACTATATTACATGAGAACAGTGAGTTTCATAACCAAGATTGGCGAAAAGATTTATTTTGATGAAAACGGAGACCCTGTCGCAACATATGATATTGTAAACTGGCAACCGAATGCCCTCGGTAACATTGATATTGTAAATGTTGGGCACTATGATGGGTCAGCTCGTTCTGGAGAAGAATTTTCGATAACAGAAGGGACAATTGTTTGGAATAGAGGTCAGAAGTCGGTAAGATTTGTGGAGAACTATCTCTTTTTAAAAGCTGCTTGGCTTTTAATTTCTATTTCCTTTCTCTGAAACGGAAAAGCGAACTCGTGGTTGTTGTATCAAATAGGTGCCCTTCGTGATGCTGCCCATTTCCTGATGTGGAGTAAAATTGCCACTTATTAAACATTTTGAAATGGAAAAGTTCTGCTCACCAATTCGAAAGTCGCTTAGCTTGATTAACCAAGAATATAAAACCAGAGGGATATTTTACTTCTAATCATTTCAACAGCAGAACATATTTGCACATAACGGATGAAATTAAAAATTATAAAACGTCAGAGTGCAGCTTAAGAACAAGGTATAAATGTAACTTTATCTTAAATGACACTGAATGAACAGATGAATGCATGAAGAAAGGAGCAAAATCTAAACATACTGAAAAGTGGTTGCAGAGGTTTGACAGTATAAATTCAGGGAGAAGTGGATCCATTAGTTTGATGTCAAGAGACATTATGGTTCATATTCATCTTGGTCACAAACACATTTATGCCATACAAGTACTAAGCAATTACTATATTCAGGAAGGGAGGATCTAATCATCTCCTCATTTCCCCTTGATTTTCAATAGCATCAGCATCACTGAATCCCACACCATCAACTTCCCAGGAAATACCTTTTACAAGAAACTTAACTGGACGAATCATACAAGTTCTGTGGCTACAACAGCAGATCAGATGCTAGGAAACCTGCAATAGGTAACTCACCTCTGCACTCTCCAAAACATAACCACCACCTATAGGTGACAGGTCAGGACTGTGATAGAATCCTCACACTTATCTGGATGGGTGTAGTTCCAATAACTCTGAAGATACTTTTCACCATCCAGGAAAAAGTAGCCCACCTGATTGATACTGCATCCACAAACATTCACTTCCTCGACCACAGATGCTCAGTAGCAGCACCTACAAGGTACATTGCAGTGATTCAACAATGCACCTCGGGCAGCATCTTCCAAACATATGCTCACTTCCATCTAGAAGAACATTGGCAACAAATCCATGAGAACACCATCACCATGCAAACCCCCCTGGCAGCCACTCACCACCTGGACTTGAAAATATGTCACAGTTCCTCTCATAATAATACGGTCCTATCTACAGCAAATGGATCTCAGCAGCTCAGGCAGGCAGCTCAAAGGCAACTAGGGATGGCAATAAATGTTGGGCTGACCAGCAATGTTAATGAATTCAGAAAAACATTTTTATTTCTGAATCTGGTTTTCATTTTAGCCATTAAACAGTAGCAAATTACATCCAATTTTATTTCGTTGCTTCCTATTTTGTTTTTTCAACAATGAATGAAGCTACTCCAAAGACATGACATGAATGTTATTGCAAGAATCTGAATTCACCAAAAATATACTGGCTCTGTAACGTCAAACCTATTCCAAGCACTTTACATTGGCTATAAACTTGGACATTATGAGGTCATAAACTGACATATTATTTCAAAAAGGACAGTCCGAACAAAGCTGACAGAAATAGATTTTGTGCTGTACACTAGACTTAATGTTGTACATTTGCCACACGGAATAGCTAATATTTCTCCGCTTTTGTATTCATTTTAATAATGAGGTTCCTAAAGCTGTTTGCTCTGAAAGTTGCCATGCAGGAACAAGGAAAGCAGAAAGAAAAGGACAACCCATTTGCTGTTTTGATTGCATACAATGTGCACAAGGTGAAATTAGCAACACAACTGGTAAGAAAACACCATTGTAAATGACATTCCTGCTTAAACGTGATGTCTGCGTTGCTCAGGCGTTAAGATTCCTCGCATAATGACGAAGTGTTGTGTTACTTCTTAGATTCCATTCATTGCATAAAGTGTCCTTTGGAATTCAAATCTAATGAAAGACGGGATCAGTGCATCCCAAAGGAAATCGAGTTTCTTTCCTTTCTCGAGATGATGGGAATCACTTTGGTGGCACTGGCGTTGTTTGGAGCCTGCACCACTGTTGCTGTATTCGCAATATTCTACGTCTATAGACTCACTCCAATTGTTAAAGCTAATAACTCTGAGTTAAGCTTCCTTCTTCTCTTTGCCCTCACACTTTGCTTTCTGTGTTCAATTACGTTCATCGGTGAACCTTTAGTTTGGTCTTGTATGCTCTGCCACGTAGAGTTTGGTATTAGTTTTGTTCTTTGCATATCATGTGTTTTGAGTAAAACAATTGTCGTGGTGATGGCATTCAAAGCAAAGTTTCCCAACAATAATATGATGAAGTGGTTTGGACCAAGACAACAACGGCTGATGGTTTACATCCTTACCCTGGTACAATGTGCAATATGTACTGCCTGGTTAATTCTATTTCCACCTTATCCTTTGAGAAGCACTAGTCACTCTCATGAGATAATCGAGTTTGAATGCAACGTGGGATCTTCGTTAGCATTCTATTGTGTTCTCGGTTATATTGGATTTCTTTCCTGCGTGTGTTTTGTGGTAGCTTTTCTAGCTCGACAACTTCCAGATAACTTTAATGAAGCTAAGCACATAACGTTTAGCATGCTTATCTTTTGTGCAGTTTGGATAACTTTCATTCCAGCTTACATAAGTTCGCCAGGAAAATATGCTGTGGCAGTTGAAGTATTTGCTATTTTGGCCTCCAGTTTTGGTCTGCTTATTTGCATTTTTGCTCCAAAATGTTATATTATTCTTCTGAATAAAGAAAAGAATACAAAGAGGAACATGATGGGCTCGGTGTCTTCCAAAAAAAGCTTTGGAAATGTTCATAAATGAGGCCCGGATATTTTCGTAGGTATTTATTTTTTGACGTAATGGTAGCGAATACTAATTCCTTGTGGACAGACGTAAAGCTGAGTGTTTTACCAGCACCCATTTTACACAATCGAACAAAGCTAAAATAACCAGCAGGAAGTGCAATTTGAAGTTCGGCTGTTAATTTTTACTATTTTGAACATCTCCCCGAGCTTTTATCGGAATGGAAAGTCGTGTATGACCTATTTGTATTTAAATATCTATCAAAGTCACTTTTAGTTTCCTTGTCGTGTCCTGAATCTCTTCATTGCGTGGAATTTCGATTTGAAACTTGCTTTATCTCTCAATAAAAAAATCAGTTCTGAAACTTGGCCTGTTCATGTGTACAAAATGGATTGCTCACATCGTTTCCTCAAAACACATTAATAAAAATGCCGTCACTGTGCTCAGCTGATATGGGGGAAGGGGGTGGGGGGTCGCTGGGGGAGGTTGTAGTGATATTGGTGGTGGAAAGAGGGGGAATACTTAGAATCTTTGAGTTCACCATTTTGGCGGTACTGAATATTCGGCCTGTTTCAGGATTAGTTTCTTATTCATTCTCCAAAGAAACTCATGAATTTGCTTCTCCTGCTCTTCCCTAGCTGCGTATTTTCTCACTGAAGTGCTGTAATTCACTGGCAAGTTATAAGTTGAGCATTTCAAAGACCTAATTTACTGAGTCAGTCCTGAAAAGTTTGTTCTTCGTGCCGACAATCGCGTATTGCATGCATACATTTCCAACTTGTTTGAAACCAAGAGAGATTCCAAATTGGTCTTTTCAACACATTTATCCATTGTGGGTGCACTTTATCTACAATATGTCCATGGATATGAATCCTTTTCTTTCTAAATAAAGATGTCAAAAGTGTTGGTGTTCATCGAGGGCAAAATTACAGAAACAGTTATTAAACGCAAGCCGATTAAATATTTGATGAGCAGTAACATCTTTAATGACGAATGGAGGTACTTAATATGGAAGTCGTATTTATCTAACTTCCTTAGTGTGATTTGAACCGAATTCTGAGTGTGAGGGAAATCAACAATTCTGGATAAGGAGATATCTATAGACCTGCGTTATATCACGATATTGCGGAAGGTGAGTGGTCCAGGAGGAGAGTTGAACGGTCCTTGGCAGATTGCAAGTCCTGAGATGGAGGGACGTTACTGTGGGAACTGGGCTGTGGGATGGTGATGTTGCTGCGGGGAATGCTCCTGCTTTTTATGATCCATAGCAGAGAAATAAATTTATCTCTTCCATGTAGCAGTCACTGCCTCCCTTTAGCTGTCAGGTTTCTAGGCAGCAGAGAAAAGCCCGATGGTAGAAATGCCTGAGTTGGGAGACAGAAAAATTACTGCGACTAAACCTTATTTCTATATTTGAATTTCAATCCGTTGCCCGGGTAGTCTGGTATCAAGCCTTTCCAACATTGATGAATTTATTAGATGTCTTAAAGAATGGAACAGGTGTAGTATAAAAATTAGGAAATAGTTGATGTGTTGAATGTAGATTTCCATAAATATTACGTAAGATAACGTATTAAAGGTTACTGCACAAGATATGAACTCATTTTGTGTGGATTTATTTATTAAAACAAGTATAAAATTATGATAGATGCGTCATTTCCAGGTTAGAAAATTGTAACAGGATGCGGCAGTGATGGTCTTACAGCTATTTATAATATATATTATTAGTTTGTTTGAGGGGATAGAGTGTGCTGCAGACTTACTTCCTGACGATAGGAAGACAGGAAAACATTTTTGAGGTGTAAAATGATTGGGAAGAATATCTACAAAGGGATATAAGCAGGCTCAGTGAATGGACAAAAAATGTCAAATAGAATCTGTTGCGGAGTCGTTTAGCGTCAATTTTTTCAGTAGGATAGATAGAAAAATAAAACTTCGTTCAAAAAATCATATGGTTCCCACTTTAGGCAGGAATGAGAAAGAATTTTTTTTTGCCTCAGAGGGTCATTATCTTTGGAATTCTCTTTCCCAAAGAGCAGTAGAAGATGAGTCATCAAATCTCTTCAAGGGCACGTTTGATTGATTTTCCGTCCACAACTGAATTAAGGTTGTGAGAACAAAGAAGGGAAGTGTTGTAGAGGCTGCAGTCACATCCTCATTAACTTACTGAACGATGGAGTAAGATCAAGGTGGCCGATTTGATGGAAAGACAACAATGCTATCAGCAGAGATAGTAAGAACTGCCAATGCTGGAGTCCGAGATAACACAGTGTGGAGCTGGAGGAACACAGCAGGCCAGACTGCATCAGAGGAGCAGGAAAGCGACGTTTGGTTCCCAATCCGAAACGTCAGCTTTTCTGCTCCACTGGTGCTGCCTGGCCTGCTGTGTTCCTCCAGCTCCACGCTGTGTTATCTTTTATTGATGCTATCAGCAGATTTGAAGGGAAGGTAGTCAGGAATGAGTGGAGTGGCACATCCTGAAATGAATATTAGGCTCAAGAGTCTGCAGATGGGTTTTGTACCTTCCTCATCCAGATCAGTGTCTAGTTTGCAGATCATGGGAAAACCATGCCACAGCAATTGTTTTCAGATTGGCCATCCTTAGCATTAGCTTTAAATTTCATGTGGAATTTGACAGCAAGTTTTATGAAGGGCACTCTTATTTTGTTGAGCAGAAGTGACTTATGTGACGGTGTTCTTGTGAAACTGATATACAACCAGTTGCTACTTAACAACTTATCATGGCTATCTTCTCTTTTTCATGGATCTTCTTCACATTTTTGGACCCAGCAAATTTTAATGTATCTTTGTCTTCTGTCTGGACTCAAAACAAGCACAAAACAAGGTGCAAATCAACATTCCCTTTGAAATATAATGTTTAGAACATGCTCAGATCCAGAGTTGCTTTGTAGAAAACTTTAATTCTGCTCAATGAAATTGGAAGGGTTTCTAATGTCATTTTGTGTTAGTTCATTGGTTACTGAACAGCCATTTAAAGCCAAAAAGACTTGAAGGTATTGTCAGTAAGTTAGGGGAAGAGAAAGATTAATACTCATTTTTTACAAGACGCAATTCACTGCACTGTCGTGTAGGTTGCTACAAGATACATGTTGGAGATACAGTGAGATGTCATTAACAGTTGGAACACTGTGCTGTTCATAGAATCCCTAAAGTGTGGAAACAGGTTTTTGGCCCATTGAACCCTCCAAACAGCAGCGCACCCAGACCCACACCCCTTATCCAGTCCCTGTAACCCTACATTTTCCATGGCTAATCCACCTAGTCTGCACATCCCTGGCCACCGCTTGACAGTTCAATATGGCCAATCCACCTAGCATGCAATCTTTGCACTGTGGGAGGGAATTGGAGCACATGGAGGAAATCTATGCAGACATGGGGAGACTGTGAAAACTTCACACAGACAGTCACCTGAGGGTAGAATCAAATCTGGGCATCTGGTGCTGTGATGCAGCAATGCTAGGCACAGAGCCAGCGTACCACCAAGGAACACAAGAAGAACTTACGGTAATTGGTAGTCAACCAAGGGTTGGAGTCAAACCTCAGAAGTCTTGGGGATTTCCAAATTTGGGATAATCACTGGCTGTTTGCTGAGGGAGGCTGTGATGTTAGGAGGTTGGATCATGCCTCTGGGCAATGGTACTTCAGTGCAGCTGAGAAAATGAGGTTGAAAGTTTATCAGCAACAGTGTGTATCTGATGAAACTAAGTGGGATAGGAGATGGGGGACTAATCCCAGGGGTAGACATGGTTCAGTAAAAGTAGTTGTCATTGAAGGATTGGAATTATCCTTCTGAATAAGTACTGGAATACAATCTCTGCAACCAGAACTACATGAACCCAGTGCTGCAGTATGTACCACCAGAACAGTGCAGTCATTGAGGCAGTCCATGTTGCAGCAACTTATGACATGGATTTTGAAGGATGGATCAGCAGAGCTGAAGGATTATAATCCCTTGTGAATCTTCATTATAATGTATGATGTACCATATCATTTATGTACGTGGACAGTTACTGAGAAATCTATGGGATCTATCTTGATTGAAATATCCGTTTGATGTGCGGCACGATGTGTTTCCATATTCATTCATGGGACAAGAACGTTGCTGTCTGGCCAGTATTTATTGACCGTTCCTTGTTATTGTTTAGAAGCTGGTGTTTAACTGCTTTCCTGAACTGCTGCAGACCATGTATGGTCCTGCAGACCAGTACGTGGTCCCGTAATGCCTTTGGAGAGGGTGTATCAGCATTTTTATCACTGTATACATGAAGATTTACCAAATGTTAATTCTGTTTGTTAAAATCTCCTCTGCACTCTCTCTAAAGCTTCCACATCTTTCCTATATGAAGTGACCAAAACTGAACACAATATTCCAAGTATGGTCTAACCAGGGTTTTGTAGAGCTGCAGCATAACCTCACAGCTCTTAAACTCAATTCCCCTGACCATAATCCTTCTTTACAACCCTATCAACTGGGGTATCAACTTTGAGGGATCGATGGACGTGACCCCAAGATCCCTCTGTTCTTCTACACTGCTGAGAATCCTGCCAGTAACGCTGTATTCTGCATTCAAATTCAACCTTCCAAATGAATCGCTTTATACTTTTCTGGGTTGAATTCCATCTGCCACTTCTTTGCCAAGCTCTGCATCCTGTCAGTGTCCCGTTGCAACCTACAACAGCCCTCCACGTTATCCATAACTGCACCAACCTTCATGTCATTGGCAAACTTACTAATCCACCCTTCCACTTCCTCATCCAAGTCATTTATAAAGATCACAAAGAGGATAGGTTCCAGAACATTTCTCTGCGGAACACTACTGGTCACTGAGCTCCAGGCTGAATACTTTCCATCTGCTACCACACTCTGTCTTCTATTGGACAGCCAGTTTTGTATCCAGACAGCCAAATTTCCCTGAATCCCATGCCTCCTTACTTTCTGAATGAGCCTTCCATGTGGAACCTTATCAAA